CTGTTGACCTCTGCTTCTTCTCCAGGACACCAGGACTTTTCATGCCTCTAACCTCTACAAGCTAAGTTATGTGCCAACATCCACACACACTCATGCCCATGTATTTAATCTAATTTGATCACTACTGTGATTGTCATTTTCTGAATCTTCGTATTTATAAACTGAAACCATGTCAATGTGACTTCCTGGCTCCATTCACCTGCACCATTCATCCCCAGTTGTGTCTTTGGTTTGTTCAGCTGTCTGGGAGAAAGTAGTTCCAACACACCAGAGCTCTTTTATGGATCACACTCTAAGGCTGGTGGACTTTTAATCTTCTTCACTGTTTTAATTTTGGAAGATGTAGCAAAATTATATCTGTTTGTCCTTGGGGTGGGGGACGCAAAAGGTGATACACAGACGATATATATCATTAACTAATAAAGCCTGAAGAAGTGCAGGAAGCAACACTGCCCAGCCAGTGCCCCCCCCCCACAAACCATCCACCATGCTGAACTTCCTTCTTTGGTCTTTAATGCTGTCTGGGAAGGCATGCTCTAGGAAGCTTCCAGCCATCTCTGATACCCATCCACTTGTATGTTCTTACTGCATTGTTCCATTTTCTGAATTGTCATGATACATCATGTCTTATTCTTTTTTCCCTCCCCCCTCCAACTTGTAATTCTAGTTCAAATACATTGTTTATTGGGTGTCATGTCATCTTATTACATGGTTTTATATTGTGAGATCTGCTTTGAGTCTCAGAGAAAGGAAGCTATAAATACAGTAAATAAATAAAATAACTTGTCTTGTTAAATAATAAACAGAACTGGGTTAATAAGAAATCAATTCTCAGTAGATAGCAATATTTAATTTCATTTTACCCAAGGCGATAACACCCATTTTTTTAAAAAAAAATATATTTCCAACTTTGTTTTTCAAACAATGGTGGGAGAAGTCATTATTTGCTTAGGTCAAAAATAAGTGTAATTCCTAATTTCACTGACTAGCCACTAGGTTGGATCCATACATACAGGATTTCACCTACACCAGCCTGCCCTTTCCCAGAAGAGTCAGAAGAAATGGTATAAGGTCTGCTCATCACCAGAGAAAGGCCTAGCTCCTGGGTACTCTAGGGTTGCCAAACCACCCCAGGAAGGAGGACTTACCCAGAGAAAGGGGAGGCCCAGCCAACATTGCAGCAATGTGTCTATGTCACTTCTGACATGACCCGGAAGTAATGTCATCACATCAGTGATGTCAGGGTGATGCTCTGGTATCTGGACAAAAACACTATGGTAGAAGCCAAATTTATCATAGAGTTTTTGCCCAAATACCAGTGTGTTGCCCGACATCGCTGTGTGATGGTGTCACTTCCGGGTCATGTCAGAAGTGATACAGTCACATTGCTGGACCTTCTTCCCGCTTTCAGTAAGTCCCCCCACCCCCTGGCAATCCTAGGGTATTCTATCCTCTCCCAGAGTTAGAGCTAAACCACTGAGCCACACTATCAAGCAGAGCTACCCTTCAAACTGTCTGCTCTTTTACTGAGGCAGTACTTCTGTGCATTCCCCTCTTGAAAGGTTTTTTTGATGCTGGAGCATTACTCACATAGGCTTGGGGATTAATCAGGTGAGTTGCTATTTTTCCCTTCAGGGGCAGGACAGACTTCATACAAGTGCTAGATGGCAACTCAGGGGAAGGTCTTGGCCTCTCTGTACCAGGACAACTGGTTCACCTCTCTGTGAAACAGGATATTGGACTAGATAGACCACTGGCCTCATCCAACAGCACTCTTATGTTCGTATACTCAGTGATGGCCTGGGTTCCCCTTATTGTCAATTTGTTCAGTTCAGTAAACATAGCTGTTTATATTCCATCCGGATGGATTCTGATAAAGTGATTGGTTATCAAGCCTGAAAATAATAGATCAATATAATAAGTATCCTAAGTTTGAAGAATGGACTATGTAATGGTGAGGAACTAGCTGGCTGTTCAACCTTAGATAACTGTTTTGAGCTTGCCCTGAGAAATTCATATAACATAAAGAAGTGAAGGTTTTTGAGTTTTCACTGAATTTAGCTCTGGGAGGTTTCTATCAACACTGATTGTTGTTTGTTAATAAGTGTTATAATCAGGGCCAGCCCAAGGGGTTTCTGCACCCGAGGCCAGGCTGCCTCGTGACGCCCCCCTCAGATGCCAACCTCTCGGTGGGGCCTGGAAACCTCCCAGCTGGGTCTCAGCAGCAGGGCCGGCCAAGAGAGGGCTCCATTCCCCGCCGCCGCCTCTGCCTCCTGCCTGCCCGCCTGCCTGCAGCAGGCGGCTTTTTTGCTAAGGAGGAGGCTGGAGGCCCCTTGGCCTGTCCCCTACCTGGATCAAGAGACAGCCCCGAAGGTCCGGGAAGCCTCGCCCCCTGGTCCCTGCTGCAGAAGCCCAATTTGGCCAAGAGATGGCTCCGTTCCCCGCCGCCGCCTCCTGCCTGCCCGCTCGCCTGCCTGCCTGTAGCAGGCGGCTTTTTTTGCTAAGGAGGAGCAAGCAGCTGCGGAGCCGCAGGGCGTTTTTGCACATGGGAAGGGGGCGGGCTGGCTCTGGAGGCTCCACGCCTCCTTCCGGGCAGTCCACTGAGCACTCCCCGGGCGAGCTGGCAAGGGTGCACAGTGGCTGGCGCAGAGCGGCATGTGTGCTGCCGCCATGCCACCACCGCGACGAAAGGAGCAGCGGGCGGCTTTGGGCAGGGTGGGGTTTTTTGGCGGGGGCGGCGGCAGGGGAATTGGCGCCCTGCTAGTATCTCCGCCCTAGGCGAGATACTAGCAGGCCTAGTGATAGGGCCGGCCCTGGGTGTATAATCAAACAACAATATGACAATTTCAGTAAAAAGACTTATATTCCTGCATCTAGTGATATCAATGTTTTCTATTCATACCTTTATTTTCATTTTTTTAAATTAAATGTTGTAATATCTGAAGTAACAGGACCATTACTTTCTAGTTGGTTGGTGAGAGAAAATGTCCTGTGATTCTCTGTGCAGACCATAGGTTTACATTTTTCAATGAATTTTAATAATGTCTAATAGATTTAACTCCACTGCCATGAAGGTTTTCATGTTGCTTGAACCTCATCATATGGTCAGTATACTGAGGAAGATTTGTTTGTTACTTATTGAAATGCTTAATTTCTGAGGGAGCTCAGTACAAGTTTCTCCATTAGTGTCTACAGGGACAGTGTCATTGGTCCAGCTTCTGACTACTTGATTATTTACAGGCATTCGATCCATGGCTTACTTTCCATTAGATGGAGCCAAAAGCCACCAAAATTTCTGGGCTGCTCATACAATCAATTATAAATTGCATGTGTGAGATGGCTAACTTCACACCAGATTTTACTAAATGTTCCGTTAGCATTGCTGTTATTTTGATTTCCGATGTTGAACTTGTACAGTTCTTTATTTATTTATATTTATATTTATATTTATTGTTATTGCCAATAAATAATGCAATACTTAAAAGCAATCCCTCCATTGTACATTTTGCTTCTTACTGGCAGTGCAGTGGGCTTAAACTGGAGTATCTTTGTAGAGGATGGTACTGTAGGTGTAATAAGTCACACCTTATCAAATAAAACATGAAGATATGTTTATAGGAGGGAAACAACATTGAAAAACGATGCTGAATTACATTTGTAAAGAAAAAAGTGTAAAATCACTTTAATTAGAAAGACTGAAGTCTTATCGGTGTTATTACATTCATTCTTGTAATCTGATGGAAAAAATATTTAGTCATACAAAGACAAGGAAGACAGTTGTGTCACATAAGAGGCATGACTAACAATTGCAAATAAACGTTCATGTTATTGTATTTGATTTTTCTAGACAATGGAGTCCAATGACCTTGTTAGAGATACTGGTAGAAATGACACGGTAGCCAATAACTGAGAAAGCAGACCAGCAAAAGGTTTTGGTCATTGTCAGACTGCCACAGATATTTTAAAGTTACCTCCAACTTTTAAAAGATACATTTTAGGTAAGGAGAGTTTGGGTCAGATTTCAGCTCATGTCTACTTGTCGCTCATGGGAAGTCCACACCAGGTGCAGAAGATTCTCTGGCATGGTGAAGTCTCCTCAGTTTGTATTCCATGTTAGTGACATCAAGTCACTCCTCAAGGCTGTGATGTTGATTTGGCTCAGGAAGTGAAAAGTGCAGAAGACCCTTCGGGAGGAGCAGAGAGAAAAAAAACACCTTGCCAATAGGAAGAACAGTAAAGGTTTCATGTAGACACTTGTGCAGATACTTTGCTTGTTCTACAAATAGTACAACAGTTGTACTACAGCAAGTTGGTTTTTACACATTTTTGCATAGCTTCAAACTGTCCCATGAAAATGCCAAAATTAGCACCCAAGTACATGCCCAGTGCTGCTGCAGTAGACGAATAAACCACTTTCCATCCCATGAGTGCAGTTGTTTGAAAACTGTTTTGCTTTGAAAAGAGGAATTACTTATTTAACTGTTAAGAAAAGAGTGCAAAGCTGTTCCCCTATCCAACTGCAATATCTCACACAATTTAATTAACTTTTTGTTATTGATCTCACACAGTTTAATTAACCTTTTGTTACTGCTGAGCGAAAAGCAAACTGCAGTAAACTGGTCAAAGATTAACCTCGGTTTGAGCCACTAAATGTGATCGACACCTCTCATTGTAACTAACAGCAAAGATCACCTTTGTTTTATAGGAGACTGGTTCCATTTGTTGGCAGTTATCCAATGCAGAGAATAGATTTACAGTCAGTCTACACATTTTCACTCAGAAGTCCCATGGAATTCAATAGATATTTCCAAGTACAGGTTATAATTGGTTGGGTTTGCATTTAATTTCATTATTTTTGAGGTCATAATATGAAAGCTATGTTCAATTGGTTTCAGGGAGGTTTACATTCTAGTAAAAGTGCTAATGATCATTGCCTAACCTGACATCAGAAGAATTCCTTTTTAGAACCACAAAATCTTGTTATTAAGCTGACCTGGAAGTCAAGGATTTGTCTCCGCTTGGTCTCTTATGGCTTTCAGTGAAAGTTCATATCCCAGAAACATGGCAGCACACATTGGGAATCCACGCACTGCATTCACCGTGAGGCCCCTAAAAAAGATCTGTTCAGAACAAGGTAGAAAAGGTTACTCCAAAAGGGCCCATTGTTTTTGTTGGTTTTTTAAACAGAAAACAGTATTCTAAATCGAAATGGAAATGGGAATGCTGAATGAGAATCTGATGTGGAAGCGCTATAAAAAGAGCTTGTGCAGAATGCTTTTCTAGTTCCCTGCACTCCTAGACGAGCTCTTTCTCCCTGACGAAAACAATAAAATGCCACCACTTTGAGTCAAAGGACAACATTACAAGACAAATTCTTCATGTAGGCAGATGAAGAGTTAACCCACAGACACAGTCTGACATTTAAAAACAGATATGCATTACAAAAAGGAAATCTCAAATCGACAGGGCGTGTGAAAAGGTAGGAAGCAGAAAACTTTATTAAAAATGCAAAGGTAGTTGGAAGAAATGCAGAAAAGTGTTAAATAGTGGGTAAAACATGGCAGAGGTGAAGGCATAGTGATTTCAGCAAGCAACAGTTTATTGCATCTCAACAGGAATGCTTTACGTGGGGCAACTGCCCTAACTATATACACCTAAGCCACTCCCAGCCCCCATGCAACTGGTGAGTTCAAATGGCCTCCAGGCTCCAGATTGGCTGGCTGCCCTCAGGGGCCAATTTGCAGGCAGGTTTCAGGATCCTGCCTGCCTTTGTTCTGGGGCTTCAAGCTCTAACTATGTGGCCTCCTTGTCGATCTGTACATAGTTCTTTTCTGCTGAAGACAATGTGCGTAAATAGTAGGCGATGGGTGCCTCTTGGCCATCTGGAAGCTCATGACTGAGGATGGTGCCTATGCTGTACAGGGAGGCGTCATGGGCGAGGACCACTGGGAGAGACTCGTTGAAGTGGGCAAGAATGGAGTTGGACATGAACAGGGTTTTCATGGCTTGGAACACAGCATTCTGGCAGTGGCTCCAGACCCAGGGAGACTTCTTGTCCAGGAGATGGTGAAGGCTGCCTTGTGTGGCTGGAATGAGTGGTAAAAGTTCAGGAGTCAAAGAAATGCCTGGAGCTCCTGCCTTGATGTCAGAGGCGGGGCATTCATGATGGCCTTGACCTTATCGGGAGTGGAGTTTCTACTGTCTGCATCAATGAGGTACCCCAGGAACTCAAACTTTGGGACTCCCAGGAAACACTTTTTCCACTTGACACACAGGCCGGTGGATTGGAAGTGACAGAGCACCTCGTGGAGGCTGCTGGTGAACTCATCGTTGGAGGAGCCCACGATTAGTATGTCATTAAAGAACAGAATGACTCCCGGGATACACTTGAGAAGTGTCCATAAGGCCCTGGAAGATCCTGGGTGCCACACTTATGCCGAACTGGAGTCACTTGACCTTGAAGGCTCCTCGATGGGTGACGATGGTTTGGGTTTCTGCAGTGGTGTCATCCACAGCCAGCTGCTGTTAGGCCTGGGCTAGGGCAAGCTTCCCGAAGATCTTCGAGCCAGCAAGGGAGGCGAAGAGGTGGCTGATGACGGGCACCAGATAAACATGCAGCTGAAGAGCCTTATTAAGTGTGCATTTGTAGTCTGCACAGATTCGGACATCCCCATTGGGCTTAATTGGGGTGACAATCGGTGTCTCCCAGTGAGTGTGAGAGACCGGCTCCAGGATGCCCTGAGCTATGAGGTGATCCAGTTCCTCGTTGATCTTGAGTGCGAAGGGGACCTGCCTGGCCTTCCTTCGGATGGGCACGATGGATGGGTTAAGCTGCAGTGAGACCGGGGGTCCAGTGTAGCAGCTGAGGGTCCCCTCGAAGACAGGGGCAAACTCCCAGTAGATGGCATCAAAGTCCTGTTGGCTGATGTGCTGAACTCCAGTCACCTGGATACCGAGTGGGTCGAACCATGTGAGGCCAAGGAGGCTGGTGTGGTGGCCCTCTGCAATGATCAGGTCAAGGAATCCATTGAAGTTCTAGTGAACCCGGAACTTGCTGGCGCCCCAGACCGGAACGCAGTTCCCCTGGAAGTCGGTGAGCAGCAGTCAAGTTGGTTCCAGGCAGGGCCCGCCTCTGGGGCAGAGGTGCTTGAAGGTTGATGGAGAGTGCCGAGCCAGAGTCAACCTCCATTTTGCAGGGGACACCATGAATTTCCACCATCACGTGTATCTTCTCTCTGGTTGGCAGGTGGATGCTCTGGATCAGATGGACCTCGGTGGTGTAGAGCTCTTTGTGGTGGATGGACTCATGGTGGACTGCTCGGTGGTGGGGCAATGGTGCTTTGGGTGTGCCCTGGGAAATCATGCTGTGGCAGGTGTGAACGATGTGGCCACGTTTACTGCAGGTCCAGCAGGTTGCATCCCAGAACCGGCAGGACCGGTGTTCATGGGGGTCCCCACAGCTCGCGCAGGGGCCGGAGCTGGTGGCTTGTTGGACCTGCAGCACTTCCTCCTCCTCTGAGCCTTTGGAGGCATCTTCATGGTGGACAGCCTCAGCCCTGGGGTTTGTAGTTGGGCTACCGGAGGCACGGGTGGCACCCTCAGTCTTTTTGAAACCCAGGGCCTGTTTGATGGTAGCTTGGAATGTCAGTTCTTCCTTGGTGAAAAGCTTCCGCTGCATTCTCTCATCTTGAAGGCCACAGACAAACTGGTCCAGGAGCATTTCCTCTATGTCTTGGAACTCATAGCAGCAGGCAAGATGGTGGAGTGCTGCCACATATGTGGACACAGACTCCCTGGCTGCCTGATCCCATTTGTAAATGGCATGGCAGTGAGCGATGCAAAATGACTGTGGCAAAAAATGGTTCTTTAGAAGAGCCATACTGCCCTTGTATGAAGTGTCCCAGAGTTTGGCTGGTGCTGTGAGACTCTGGGTGATCTCGAAGGTTGCAGAGCCACAGATGCTGAACAGGGAGGCCCACTTGAGGCTGGCATCAGTGATTTTGTTGGCCTCAAGGAAGAACTTGAGGCAGTTGGCATAGGTGTCCCATAGTTCTGGGGACACAGGTTTGAATTCCTCAAGGCGGCCTTGAGTGGCCATGTTTCTTCCTCTGCAAAGCGGCTTGTAGAAGCTTGCAGCAGTGCTCTTCAGGGTGATAGTTTCCTGGAGGTGATTCAGCTTCTTTGGCCTCTAGCCATGTTAGAAAGATCCCACCTTCATCGCCAATGTTAAATAGTGGGTTTAACACGGCAGAGGTAAAGACATAGCGATTTCAGCAAGCAGCAGCTTATTGCATCTGAACAGGAATGCTTTACATGGGGCAACTGCCCTAACTATATACACCTAAGCCACTCCCAGCCCCCGTGCAATTGGTGAGTTCAAATGGCCTCCAGGCTCCAGATTGGCTGGCTGTCCTCAGAGGCCAATCCATGGGATGGTTTCAGGATCCTGCCTGCCTTTGTTCTGGGGCTTCAAGCTCCAACTAAGTGGCCTGCCAGGACAAGCCCAGACATGCCTCTCCATGATCCTGCTAGGTAGCCTATCAGACAAGTCCAGGCATGCCTCCAGCAACAGTTAAGCTGGAGTGGAAGATTGTTCATGTCCAGACATAACAAAGAGTAACCAAAATGATTAAGAGACCGGAGCACCTTTCTTATGAGGACAGGCTAAAGAGACCCATAGCCAGGATTTTTTGGTTTGGGGAGCATTTTTAAGGGGACACTCCATAAACTGGGGTATTCAAATCCAAGTTCAAATCCCCACTCGTGCCCCGGAAGCTTGCTGGGTGATCTTGGTCACACACTCTCAGCCTAACCTACCTCACAGGGGCCTGTGCCCCTTTACAGTAGGACTCCCCAGCCCAGCTGCAGAGCTAGTCTTCTTCCCAGAGCCCCCAGGTGGGTGCCACAGCTCCCTTACCCAGCCCTTGAGTTGGAAGGCTTGCATGCAGTGGGAGCTCAGCATGCCCCTGCCACTGTGGACCAGCACCTGGGGAGCCTCTGCCTCAACCATGTCACTCAATCCACCCCTCGCTTCTTCCTGGGAAGGGTCAGTGCACTCCGCCTCCTCTCAGGCCACAAGGCCGGCCAAGCTCTTGGCAGACAGTGATAGACCAGCAGAGAGGTCAGTCAACTACAAGCAGAGCCCCTGGCTGGGAAGGGAAGCACGCTCTCTCTCACATGCAGGCAAACATAAACCCTGCATGGAGGGCAGAGGTCTGGGAGCACACAAGTCCCAGCCTGGTCATGCCAATCAAGTGTTGCGTGGCCTGCTACCCTCCAGGCTGTTCTTCCTCTTTCCCACCACCTCCTCATTCTCCTCTACCTCTGCCTTTCATTGCTGGCCTCAGCCTCTGCAGACCAGTGCGCAGGTAGCAGCATGGGGAGGAGAGGAGAAGAGAGGAAAGCCCACCTCAGTTGCCTTCAAGGCTGAGGGAAGGGAGAAGATGACAGGCGGCGGGGGGGGGGGAGATAAGCCAAGCTCGGTGCCCCTACTTGGTGAGACAGTTTGCGGGGCTGGGAGAAAGAGGGCGGGCAGTGGCAGGAGAGAAGAGGAGGAAAACGTGCCAAAAATAAAATAAAAAATGGGTAGTCTGGTGGGCTGAACTGGATGGGAAGTCAGGGGGCCTTAGGAATAAGTCAGGGGGCCAAGCCCCCCGGGACCTCAATGTGGCTACACCTGAGTATGAGTCTTTTCAAGTTTAGAAAGAAGACCCCCAAGGGGGAATGCGATAGAGATAAATGTACAGACATGGTAGAGAAAGTGAGCAGAAACAGCTTCTTCTCTCTCTCTCTCTCTCTCTTCGCCTTAAAACTTGGAGGCACCCAATAAAACCGATGGGCAACACGTTCTGGGCTGACAAAAGGAAATCCTTCTTTACTCAACATGAATAAATTGCAGAATCCACTGTCAGTGGCTGTACTGATGACCACTAAGAGGGAATTTGACAGATTTGTGATGGTCCATTTTCAGAGGCAGGGAACATCTAAATACCAGTGCTAAATCACATGTAAATAAATAAATAAATAAAAAAGATGCAACATGAGGGGAAGGCCTTGGCCTCTGTGGCCTGTTTGTTGGTCTACAGGGAAAATCATTGGCTACTGTGTGAAATAGGATGCTGGGCTAGACGGACCACTGGTCTGATCCAGAAAGGTCTGATGTGACAAACTGAAAACAAAAACAAAAAACGCCCATACACTGAATCCAGATGCACTTGAGCTTACAACTACTTTTGTGTTTCCATCAGCACCACTGTATAGTTTAAGCTATTGGGGGGAGACAAATTTAAGCATCCAGGTGAAACAAAATCTTTAGGATTGTCTAAAAGACGCAATTTCCAGACAAAGAAAGGAGGAGCTAACATCTAGTCAAAGAAATGATCCAAATGAGGTAATTTAAATTAAGAAACTGTGATGCGAATGACTGGGCTAGCCAATTGATGGAGAAACATTAGTGGTCATTCCTACACAGAAAATGTAAAATGTTTGGAAATGTTGATGCCATGGCATGCAGCCCCTCCCCCAATTATTTATTTTTTGAGCCTTCACATCTTTATTCCCACTTAGACATCTATCTTGAAAAGGAGACTCTGCCAACATACTGTAACACACATAGAATTACAGAGTTAGGAGGGCTCTTAGAGGCCATCTAGTCCACCCCCTGTTTTTTGAGGATTGAGTAGACACGGGGGAAATCACATGAAGCTGCGGGGCAAAATGCGGCCGCGCAGCAGCTTGTGTGAAATTGACACGTACCATGGGGCAAAAGGGAGGAGTGAGCGCGGAGCAGCGCTTGTGGGAAATCACCTCTAGTGTTCTCCCAGAATTACAAGTGATCTGTGGTCTGGAGATTACAATGATAAGTTTCCCTGGAAGAAATGGCATATCTAGAGGGCTCATTGGTTAGATTTTTGTTCCTTAGTTTAAGTACCTGAACCTAGGGCTATTATCCTGATTGCTTTAATTAAAAGAATGTTCCACGGAAACAAATGTGACTTACTGCCAAATGGCTGTGTTGCAGGATAATGGAGTTCATTTCCCAACATATACTAACAGCAGAAGAAGAGCCCTTCTATATCAGCTCTAGATTTTCATCCTGTTTCAAACAATGGCCAGATGCCTGCAGGAAGCCCATAACAGGCCATGAAGTTGACAGCCTGCCTTTGTTGCTTTCTTTGTAGCACCTGGTATTAAAAATTGTAATGCCTTTGGATAAGGAAGACTCATTCAGCTATCTTCCATGAATTTCTCTAATCCTGTCTCAAAGTTATCTAAGACAGAGGCCATCGCTAGAATTTATGGCAGTGAATCCATATATTAATAAAAGTTACTTTTGATTTTTCCTTTATAAATAAAATGTATTGTGCTATTTGAAATTATAAATATACATCTGTAACTATAACAATTAGCCAGCATACAATTTATTACCAAATTAATTCCCAATATCAAAATGATATCATTTGGTACTGCTTACCTTTAGACCATCATTATGATAGCTTTGGGAGATGCAGTCAATTACTCCTTTGTATTTCTTGAAATAAACCCCATCTGCTTGAAGACGGCTCTTCACAACATCCATAGGAGTAGCAGTTCCCCAAGATATTGCTCCTAAGAAAAAGACAGGAAAAGTATTGAACAATATACCCAATAAAAAATTCCAAATGCATTCTTAATGGTATAAAACCTTTAGTGATAAAGGTATAATAACAATGATAGTTATAACTTAAGATAAAGTGAATCCTATTCAGTTCAATAGAGCTAAATTTGGTGTTATGTATTGGGACTAGAGTCGGACTTGACTGGCTTTCGAGCAAGGGAAACCTTTACCTTTACCTATTGGGACTGAAACATTCCAGGTATGTAACACCAGAGACTGCCTGAGCTTGGAGCACAAGAACAATAGTCTACCAGGACTCTGGAAGTAACCAGTCAAGTAGTAATGTTATGTAAATAGCCTATAATTGGGAGTGGGGTGTGTTTGGGTGTGGCAACTGCATGCTATTTAACAGAGCTGAGGCTCTGGAGTCTTGTCTTGCTCTTGCTGAATTCACAAATAAAGTTAAGCTGATCACTAGACTTGCGCCTGCTCATCCATGGAACCCACTATTTAACAGTGGTGATGAGGATGGGATCCTGTTGAGTGAGCCTAGCGCCCATCTGCACTGCACCATGCAACGAACTCCAGTGCCACGCGCACTGCATCGCAATCGGGACCATGGCTACCACTCCAGGACATCAGCCAGAATTTGACCCCACTCACCCAGAGCTTTGGGAAATCTAGGTAGAGTGGCTCAAGTACAATGTACTGTTATAGGTTACCGCTTTCAAGAAATCCCAGTGAAGATTGCCAGACCTCCGCTGCACACCAGGCCTCTGTCCCCTCAGCTTCTGAGGCATCAGATGAAGAAGAGACTCATCAGGTTTGCCACCCAGCTCACCACAAGTCATGACCTTCGATTGCCGCCGTAAGTCCAGCAGAGACCATTGCACCGACACCATGCGCTAGTAGCGGAGAGGCACATGAATGTAGCTCCTGCCATTTCCAAGATGCCACCTGCAGGGCCTGAGGCAAGACAGGCCACATCACCCATGCCTGCCGCTGCAAGGGAGCCTGGGGATGCACCGCCACAGATCTGCACACCACTGCCATCTACCAACATCAGGTATTGAATCTGCCATGGGACACCCCTGATAAAATTAAAGTGACAGTGCTCATAGAGGGGTACCTTGCAAGATGGACCTGGACATGGGGTCCTCCATCTCCATCATCTCAGAAGAGACTCTCCAGAGGCTCTGTCCACAAGGGGGTCCCTACATTAGACCCATTGCTTTCACCTTCCAGGACTGTCAAAAGAACAAGGTGGCCATTAAGGGCTGGGGCAAATTCCACATGAAATACAGGCAGTTTGAGGGAATTTATGACTTTATGGTGGTTGAAGGGCGGCTCACCAGCTTGCTTGGACTGTCCTGGCTTGCACCCTTTGGGTTAAAATAACAGGGGTGCGCCACATGCAGCTCTCAGACTTCAGTAATGTGTGTGATGAATTCCCTGCCATCTTTGCGGGGACCCTTGGCCAATACACAGGCCTGTATCACTCCAACTCAGCCCCGAGGTGCACCCTATCCGCCTCAAGGCCTGGAGAGTTCTATTTGCGCTCAAGCCCAGAATTGAGGTGGAGCTGGACCATTTGGTGGCACAGGAAGTTGTAGAGCTGGTTCCCCACACAACCTGGGAAACTCCCATCGTAACCCCAATTAAGCCAAATGGGGATGTCCGTATCTGCATGGACTACAAATGTTTGATCAACAAGGCGCTGAGGGACCATGCTTACCCAGTGCCTGTGGTCAGCCATGTCCTAGCGACATTGGCAGGGGCCAACGTCTTCAGTAAACTGGCAACAGGCCACTGCTTTCCAGGCTGTGAAGGAGCTACTCGCCTCAAATGATGTCATTGCTCACTTCGACGAGATGTTGCCGGTCATCGTGGCATGCGTTGCTTCTCCCTATGGTGTTGGTGCAGTCCTGGACCATCGGCTGCCGGATAGGAGAGAGGTGCCAGTGGCCTACTACTCCAGGACCCTGTCATCAGCCGAGCGGAACTACCCCCAGATCAACAAAGAGGCCCTTGCAATTGTGGTGGGAGTGAAAAAGTTCCACAATCACCATCACAACTGACCACAAGCCCCTGGTTGGTCTCCTTGCCCCTGACTGCCAGACGCCACAGATGCTGTTCCTGCACTGTTCTTACTGGCAGGATACCAGTATGCTCTCCTCCACCACCTGGGAAAGGTGATGGGACACGCTGACGCTCTCAGCTACCTGCTGCTACCCTCATGTGACCCGGACCCTGCTCCAGCCCACCAGATCATGCTCCTTGAGGACCTTCCCGACTGCCCTCTCCAGGTATCCAATTTGTCCCACCACACCGCCAGGGACCATGTCCTCTCCCAGAGTTTTGGACTGGGTGGGTAGGAGATGGCCCATGGATCAGGTGGGCCCAGAATTCACAGCATTTGCATCCCGCTACAACAAGGTCTCAGTGTACAAGGGGTGCCTCCTATGGGGTAGAACGGTAGTGATTCCCCATCACTGTGTAAACAGGTTTTGGTAGCCCTGCACGAGACCCACCCGGGAATCGTGAGGATGAAAGCGCTGGCCAGGAGCTACATGTGGTGGCCTGGAATGGACAGCAAAATTGAGGCCTGGGTACAGTGTTGCCAGGCCTGCCAGGAGATGTGCCCCGAACCTCTGAGGGCTTCCATTCACCAGTGGTAGTCTACCCACACGCCATGGGCACAGGTGCATTTGTACTTTTCCAGCCCGTTCCAGGGGCAGTTGTTCTTTCTCCTGGTAGACTCCTACACCAAGTGGCTGGAAGTCGTGCCAGTCACTTCTACCTCATCCTGTGCAGCAATCCAGGCCCTGAGACAGATTTTTAGTACACATGGTCTACCAGATATGGTCATGATAGATAACGGCACCACCTTCACCTTGGGAGAGTTCAAGGAGTTCTTGGACCAGAACCTCATCAGGCACATGCGGTCTGCTCCTTTCCACCCGGCTACCAATGGACAAGCCAAGCAGATGGTGCGGACAACCAAGGACACGCTAAAGCGGCTCACCCAAGGGGACGACTGGCTGTCTTCTTGTTTGGCCATCAGGTGACCCTGAGTGTGTCCACCGGCCACAGCCCCGCTGTTGTGTACCAAGTATGACCGTGCAAAGGGCCCTAGCTTCGCTCATAGAGACAACAGCCTAAACGGATCCTAGCATGCACCTATCAGAGGGCTAGGATCCGAATAAGGACCTATGGGACTCGGGTGCACTGTAAATGGCGTATCATGGGTGTGGGTGGGTGTTTTGGTGTGGTTTGCTATGGGGATAAAAGCTGGCTTTGGGCCAGAAAAAGCATCTCAGGTTTTCCATGTAACCAATAAAGTATGAGCTGTAATCACTCTACTACGCATCAGTCTCAGCACTTTATACTGGCGATGAGGATGGGATCCAAATGATTGAACTGAACGTCCATGCCGACACAAGCATCGCACCGCGCCACGACCTCCAGAGTACCGCACCCAGCACTGCTGACTCCAGGTCCAGCACTGCATCGCACCCTGCTTCTCCGGTCACCATGCCTCGCACCGCTCCCAGGAACCCTCCGCCACGTGGAGCCCGCATAATGGCTGCCGCTCAAGGGAACAGTCTGGAATTCGATGCCACCCATCCTGAGCAGTGGGAAACCTGTATCGAACGCCTGGAATACTATGTTGACTTCCATAACATCACAGACAAGGGTAAGAAGAAATCCCTAATGCTATGCACCTGTGGAATCGACATGCTCTACTAAAAGACTTGATTGCCCTGAAGAGAGAGGCGACCTTCGCGGAGCTGGAGAAGGTGCTCACAGATCACTTTGCGCCTAAACCAACAAAAATAGCCGAGCACATCAACTTCTTTGCGCGACTCCAGGGCCCCAATGAAACCGCAACCAACTTCCTGGTGGGCCTTCACTGAGCAGCCACCTGATGCGAGTTCCCCAACCTCAGCGACACCCTAATGAACCAGTTCATCATGGGACTCTGGGAACCCAAATCAAAGAAAATCATACACATCAGAAAATAGTGTAGAAACTAATCCTATTGTATACCTGAAGTGACTATGATGCCTGCATCAGGACACTACATGGTTGGTACCAATCAGATTTCCTGGGAGCTGATGGGCTATGATTTAGACTCGTTTTCTAAAATTTGTATTTCCAATAAATAAATAAATAAACCATTGTCTCTAACCCTGTAAAGTGGATTTGACCACTAATAAATTAAGGAATATTATTTCATTTGCTTGGTGCAAACCAGGATTATTAAGAACATGATGAAAACAGGAGCCCTCACTTTCAATTCTTATATTAAAAACCTTCCCACAAGCCTTTCCTGTGACTATTATGACAAATTAATTAGCCACAAAAATTACTATCATCAATGAAAAGTAGAGTAACCACTCTACACAGTCCCTCTGAAAGAAGAAGGTTTGTTAAATGAGTGTAGTGCAAGCATAGATTAAACTTGTCCAGGGACTATGATGCCTGCATCAGGACACTACATGGTTGGTACCAATCAGATTTCCTGGGAGCTGATGGGCTATGATTTAGACTCGTTTTCTAAAATTTGTATTTCCAATAAATAAATAAATAAACCATTGTCTCTAACCCTGTAAAGTGGATTTGACCACTAATAAATTAAGGAATATTATTTCATTTGCTTGGTGCAAACCAGGATTATTAAGAACATGATGAAAACAGGAGCCCTCACTTTCAATTCTTATATTAAAAACCTTCCCACAAGCCTTTCCTGTGACTATTATGACAAATTAATTAGCCACAAAAATTACTATCATCAATGAAAAGTAGAGTAACCACTCTACACAGTCCCTCTGAAAGAAGAAGGTTTGTTAAATGATATGAATGCAAGCATAGTCAAAACTTGTCCAGGGGGTCATTATGCTATGTTGAGAAATCCCAGAAGCATACAGATGGCCTTAGGAAACTTCATGAACGTCAAAGGGCTTCTGTTCTGAGAGAAGAATAGCTCACACATGCTTCCCAAAGACACGTAGATAAGGAACACTGCAGGCTGACAGCATAGGTAATTCCTGAGGTTGCCAACCTCCATGTGGGGCCTGGAGATCTCCCAGAATTACCACAGATCTCCAGACTACAGAGATCAATTCCCCTGGAGAAAGTGACTTCTTTAGAGGGTGGACTCCACGGCAATATACTCCTCTGAGGTCCCTCCCCTCCCCTCCCAAACCTCACCCTCCCCAGGCTCCACACCCCGAATCTCCAGGAGTTTCCCATCCTGGATCCGGCAACCCTACAGGTGAGCCCAGCCATCAAGTCATAAATTCAACACACATATAATTAAGGAATTAATCATTTAGAAGACACAAGAGGGGGACCCGTGATATTCGCGGGGGGGGGAGAGAAGAGCTCCGTCTCCTCCATCCCCCCTCCGCTCGATCTCCCCGAGGCGGAGGCGCTGGGGGCAGCGGCGAGGCCGGTCTCCCCCCGCTGTCCGGCTCCGTGGCGGAGGCGGCTGCAGCGGCGAATCCGGACCTCCCCCCTGCCCCCCGGCCGGCTCCAAGGCGGCGGCGGTGAGGCCGCCTGCCCGCCTGGATCCCCCCCTCCTCGATCTCCCCGAGGCAGCCCTCCCTGCCCGCTTGCCTGCCCGCCTCCATCCCTTCTCCACTCGATCTCCCCGAGGCGGAGGTGGCGGCAGCGGCGAGGCCGGTCTTACCCCCTCCCTCGACCAGCTCCGAGGCGGGGGAGGCGCCGGGGCAGCGGCGAGGCCGGTCACCCCCCCCCGCCGGCCGGGTCTGTGGCGGAGGTGGCGGCAGCGGCCAAGCCGGACCTCCCCTCGCCCTCCCGGCCGCCTCCGAGGCGGCGGCGCGGCAAGGTTGGCTACAGAGCGTTCGTGCGCACGCGCACGAACGCTCTTTCACTTTTGGGGGGATTTAAACATCCCCCCGATATTTTTTTTTAGTTTTTAGATTTTTGTGCACCCCTGGGGACTGCCCCAAGAGTGCACAAACCTCCCCCTTCCCCCCAAGTGCCCCCGGAGCGCGGATTTAGCGATCCGCACTCCGGGGGCAACTTGACTATTAGATATATAGATTCTAGTAATCATTTACCCATTTTATAAACTGAGAATACTGAATCAGAGACTAGTCCTACACAGACTCTGCCGTAGAAGTACATGCTGAGCTGGTAACTCAAAGATACGAGTGAAACCACAGTAAGTCAAGTTATCCTAGGGTTATCAACCTCCTGGAGATTTCCTGGAATTGCAGCTAATCTCCAGATGACAGAGATCAGTTCTCCTGGACAAAATGGATGGAGAATAGACCATATGGCATTATGTCCCACTGAGATCTTTCCCCTCCCCAAATCCTGCCCTCCTCATGCTCCACCCTCTGAAATCTCTAGAAATTTCTCAAATTGGAGTTGACAGCCCTAAATTATTCATATGTATATGGTCAAGAAAAACATGTTGACAACAGGGTGCAACCCAGACTAAGTTCTCCCCTCTGCCATCTCAGACACACAACCTGCCTGGTTAGGGTTGCTGTGAGGAACTGCCCTTAACAACAGGTTTCCTAGTGCTGCAGTTTCAGAGATAAGGGAGGTGAAGAGTTAATGGAAAGCTTGAATGACAGGTTGCCCCCCCCACTCTCTGACTGGCCAGCACCAGCTGAAGAGAACTATAAGATTAGCTGAGTACTGAGGGCCTCATCTTTTTGGAGTCTTTCAGCCAGTTGATCTTTCAGAAGTCAGACGGTCAGTCAGTTGGCTTCTGACAAAGTCAGTTTGAATCAGTGAGTCTGACAAAGTTAGACAGGTTCACCTCTGGAGTGAAGGGAAATGACTCTTTGCCTTAACTGGTTCCTATTAATTCTGAGGAAGAATTCAGTATCAGAACTGAATGACTAAGAATCAGCCTAAAATGAACTCCATTTTACACAGACACCAGAACTGGGATTGAGATTTTGGTGAGGGTGATGGGGTAGTATGCTGAAACTCCCATTCAGGCCAAAAGAAAGGGGTTATATCTTCTGAGAAGAAGACTAATTCCTGCCCAGTTACACTGGGTATTTTGCTCTGAGGAAATCCCTGGTCTGCCATGAAGGGAATTGGATTTAGATACCTCGGGAATGGGATATTGAAATAAACTGTGATTTCCAAAAGGGGAAAAGTTTAGGTACACAATGAGCTCCTGGAACAAGCTCCCGGATGACATCAGGGCCCTGTGGGACCTTTTACAGATCCGCAGGGCCTGCAAGATGGAGCTCTTCCACCAGGCCTTCGATTAAGGAGCCACACAATTGAGGCCCTGACCCCAATATTTACACCACCACCATCATCATCAACATCAATATTACTATCAATATTAACACCATTATAAATAGCCATATATAACCGCTAATTGTTTGTATTGTTGGATACTGCTCATGTCTGCCATCACATATGAATAATCCTAGTTCTAGCACCAGTACTTTGTATGTTTTATATTTTTTTGTTTTATGTATATATTATTATGATTTTAGTTAAATATGTTTTAGTTGTGCAATATCCTATGTAAGCTGCCCTGAGCCTGCTTTGGCAGGGAGGGCAGGGTAGAAATTAAATAAATAAATAAATACAAATAAAGAGACAGTCTCCAGGAAACCTGAAGAGTCATAGGAAACTATATGAAGAAACATTGTAACTGTAACTAAAATACTCAAACGCCTCTCACTGTTAAGATCCAAGAATATATGAAAATAAGCTTCAACAACATTATTTTGATTGTTAAAAGAAGTACAATCTGTATTAACAATAATCTTCACCTCAGCATTTCCAACTCTTGATTACACCCATTCGATCCCTGCCTGATAAATAAAATTGTTATATCTGTTTGAATGTTATACCGTCTCAAGTGCCATTTGAAAGGGAAAAACAAGAGGGCTCCTTCCTATCCTATCAAGTTCCTGGGCTGGGCTAAAGGACAAATTATATCTTTGTGATGGGGTGGAACAGACTGACTTTTAAAAAACAATAACTAAATCCATGTAACTTGGGACTGCTCAGTCACAGTTGAAAACCAATTTCTGGTGGGAAATCCTGCCTGATAGTGGGGAAGTGCCAGGGGTCCATCATAGTTGCCAACATCTAGGTGGTCGCCTGAGATCTCGGATTACAACTGATCTCACTTCATCTGGAGAAAATGGCCTCTTGGCAAGGTAGACTCTATGGCATTGAAGTGCCCCATTGAAGTGCCTCCCCTCCCCAAATCCTGCTCTCCTCAGGCTCCACCTCCCAAATATCCAGGTATTTCTCAATCTGGAGCTATCCCTGGTGCTGCCTGCTGTTCTGACTAGGACTTTTCTGGCACTGGCTCAGCTGTATGAGAAATTCCAGTTTTCCATTCCTTTGCCACCACCTGCTTTTCAAGCTCAACAGGCTGACCAGTTGCCTCAGGATGGACACAGCTGATAGTAGTGATGAGGAGAACTGAAGCAAGGACAACCAGCCTCCCCTCTCCCCTATTAATCACAATGACAGAGAAAAGAAATATTCACACCTGCAATACCACCAGCTATCCACACAGAAAAGGGGCTAGGAGACAGGCATCCATCAGGGGTGATCCATCCACAGAGTAATACGTAAGGGATAAAGTAGAGGCAATATCCAGGAATGTCCCTCAGAATCATAGCACTAGAACCTCGATACAGTCCAGCTAAGCCATCTTGCCGAAGAATTGTGGCAACACAATGAACGGGGCCTCTGTAAGCAGTCTGTATGGAAATGCCAGTGACCCTGTGTTTCAGATTTAGGTTGGCTGCAGAAGGAAATACAAATGACATTAGTAAAATGCCTTAGACTTCCTCAGAATTATTGCTGTTGTTGTTGTTATTATGATTATTATTATACATTTGTATACTATCTCTCCATAAACATGTGCCTGAATTAGGGTTGTCAGCCTCCAGGAGATCTCCTGGGATTACAACTGATCTCCATGTGACACAGATCAGTTCCTTGGGAGAAAATGACTGCTTTGGAAGGTGGACTCTATGGTATTATGCCCTGCTAAAGCCCCTCCCCTCCCCAACCATGCCCTCCTCGGAATCCACCCCCCAGATGTCCAGGAATTTTGCAACCCAAGTATGAAATGGTTAACAATATACAGTTTAGTAATAAAGCCATCCCAAAAACAATATCTAACAATAAAATCTAAAAAAAAAAATACAAAAGCAAACCAAATTAACAAGGATTTTGTCTTCTAAACTGCTTCACAAATTATGCAGCAGTAAACACCAGCACTTTCATCTGCAATAGTACCTGTGTACTTCTGGTGGGAAGGTAACAGCGTTCCGTGTGCCTTGGTGTTTAGTCATGCCGGCCACATGACCATGGAAACGTTTTCGGACAGCACTGGTTCTTTGGCTTTGAAACGGAGATGAGCACTGCAACCCTAGAGTCGGATTCGACTGGCTTTCGAGCAAGGGAACCTTTACCTTTACTTACTTCTGGTCCAGTTCCGCATTCTGGTGCTTACTTTTAAGCCCTTACAGTTTACGAGACTCATACCTAATGGACCACATCTTTTGATACACTCACATGCACCAACAATGGGCTGCTGTGTTTCTTTAAACTGTTTTACAAATATTGTATGTATTTACAACTATTGTATGTAAACTATTTTACAACTATTGTATGTGTTATTGTATGTACTGTATGTACTTCCAAAGATTCAACAAGTAGAGCAATGGCAACAATCCAAGCTAGTAATGAGGAGAGTAAAGATATTTGGTTTATCAGAGTGTGGCCAATATACAGCGGGGGCGGGGGTGGTATTGGGGTATTTTATTTCATTTATTTTATTCATTTGTTGTTGTTTTTCAGTTGCACAGTCGAGTCCGAGTCTTCATGACCCCATGGACCACATCCTGTCTTCCGTTGTTATGTATTTTATTTATACCTTCCATTTAATATCCCGCTCTAATCCCATAGTTGGGGTCTCTGAGGGGCTTACAAGTTTTTCTGGTGCTAATCACCATTTTTGTCCCTGACTAAGGCCACAATGTATGTAAGGGGATGGGATAGCCTACCAGCACCCCCTCTGTGGTGACATATGATGTTTCTTCCTTGTCGGGTCGGCACGGGGCAGAACGGCGCTGCCAGAGACCGGGTGAGCTTGGAGCTGAAGAACAACAAACCAACAGGATTCTGGCAGGTGTAATGTTATATAAATCCAGGTGTAATGTTATGTAAATAGCCTATCCTTGGGATTGGGGTGTGTTTGGGGTGTGGCAGTCGCATGGAATATAACTGAGCTGAGGCGCTGGTCTGCAGTCTTGTTCTGGCTGAAATCACTGAATAAAGTAGAGCCGATCACTAGACTAGGAGTCTGTTCATCCATGGAACCCACTATTTAACATCTGTCATGCTCTGAAGTTTGCTTAATTTTATGTTTGTTCCATCGATAACATTGTCTAACCATCTCATCCTTTGTCGTCCCCTTCTTCTTTTACCTTCAGTCTTTCCCAGCATCAGGGTCTTCTCCAGGGAGTGCTCCCTTCTCATTTGGCGGCCAAAGTATTTGAGCTTCAGCTTCAGTATCTGGCCTTCCAGGGAACAGTCAGGGTTGATTTCTTTTAGGATTGACTGATACCATCTCCGTGCAGTCCAAGGGACTCTCAAGAGTCTTCTCCAGCACCATAATTCAAAAGAGTCTATTCTTCAACGCCTGGCCTTCCTTATGATCCAACTCTTGCAGCCATACATTGCTACTGGGAATACCATCACTTTGACTATATGGACTTTTGTTGGCAGGGTGATGTCTTTACTTTTTATTATGTAGTCTGGGTTTGCCATTGCTTTCCTCCCATGGAGCAGGCATCTTTTAATTTCATGGCTGCAGTCACCGTCTGCAGTGATCTTGGATCCAAGGAATGTGAAGTCTGTCACTGTTTCCATGACTTCCCCTTCTATGTGCTAAGGAGTGATGGGGCCAGATGCCATGATCTTAGTTTTTTTGATGCTGAGTTTCAAGACAACTTTTGCGCTCTCCTTTTTCACTCTGAGCAAGAGGCTCTTTAGGTCCTCTTCACTTTCTGCCATTACAGCGATATTGTCTGCATATCTGAGGTTGTTGATGTTTCCCCCAGCAATCCTAATTCTGCCTTGTGCCGGAATTCATTTACCCCCTGCCTTTCTCCCCAATGTTGAACCAAAGTGATGTACATAATTCTCCTCTTCTCCATTTTATTCTCACAACAACCCAGTGAGGTAGGTTAGCATGAGCAAGCTTCCATGGCATGTGGGGATTCAAGCAAGCCTGGGTCACTCAGATCCTAATCCAGACAGATCTAAGAATGCCAAGATGCCAGCTCAGCACTTGCAGCCAGTGGGATGTTTAGCAGGGCAGGGGCATGCAAATATGCATTGTTCTGATGCTGCAATGTCACTTCCACTGGAAGTGATATTCAGCACTATACTCTAGAGCATCACCCAGATGCAAGTCCTAGAGCATCACCCTGAAACAACGATGTCACTTCCAAGGTTGCACAAGAAGTGGTATTGTGGTGTTAACGTAATCCCACACATTTGCTCCCACGTTTTCCCTCTGCTGCACTACTGAGTGGCATCGAGCAAGCAACTTGGGGTGCTGACAGGAGGTCTCCTGGTAGCCCTGTTATAAGATCTTGAACAACTTTGGCTTATTTAAGCCTGACTAGTAATAAAGGGCAAAGGGAGACAACCCAGAAATGGCAGGGAGTAGAAGAGAAGGGTGACATATTACATTCTCCTTTATCAGAGGCTTAGGAGGAGAGATTTGGCAGTTGCTGTAGGCCCAGCTGGGATAGGAAAGCAATGAAGATTAGTCTGACAGCTCATGGCAGAAGCAACTTTACCTGATCCTAGAGTCATGATCAGTTCTAGGTATCTGGTCATGTGTCTATGGTACAACATTGAGGGAATAACTAGATAACACAATGTCCCTACAGCCATTTTACCTCAGGATTTTCTGTTGCTTTAAAAATGTTGTGTGGGACTGATCCTACTCAGGACGGTGGACGGTGGTGCGGGGGAAAGAGGGGCTCCTGTGGGGCTCAAAAAATGAGAGGGAAAATTCCATAATGCTGAATGATTACATAATGTAATTTAAAATCCACATTTAAAGAGTGCTTTTTGAAAGAATTTTTTTTTACCATTTATGCTATTTAGGTTTCTTTAGCTATGCTAATATTAAGGTCTCTCATTGCTTATCAGTTCTCTTACTATAACTAATAAAATAATGCTACAGCAAGTTTTTTTCATGATTATGTATTTGAATTCTCTGACATTCACAGTATTGAGCAGTTCTCCACTGATATAACATGCATCAGTTCTTACAGTATTGCTTCTATTCTCTGTATCCCCCCACTGCATAATTTGAGGTCAAGACGTGTGTGCATGAACAGTGTTTGTATATTCATGTAGCATGGTGTTTATTCAACACAGATACATCTTTTAAGCTGGTTTGGCTTTTACTAATTTAGAATTCTGGTTCAGTTCATTCCTGGAACCTTGGGAACACATAGTATAGTAAAATATTTACCTCCTTCAGGTCTGTATTACCTCCCGGAGCAGATTCAGCCTATGTTCTAACTAAATCAACAGTTCATTTCTCACTCATATTGCAGTTAACTCTATTGAAATTGAAAGAGGACTAGTGTTTACCTATTTTTACATGGACAACATTTAACTGTCTTAATTTTTGCCATCTCTCCTCTCTGCAAATAGAACAGATTTTAATACACAACCCTAGAAATATCATGGGTTACAGTTATGTTTGTTTTTTGCCTTCATATTACTCCATGAAATTTTGTACCTCAGGCTATCTGGAATTTATTAGATACTAGGAGTAAGGCCCGTTGTGGGAAGAAATACAATGAGCTGTAGAAGGAAGCTCCAGGTGAGTGTCCCAGCTGTGGCTGGCGGGCTGGCAGAGGGAAGGGGAAAATAGAGGGAGGCAAGCCATGTTTATTTCCTTCTGCTTAGCTATAAGGCAGGGCTATCTCAAGTCATTTTGGTGCCCCAAGTGGATAGTATGGGAGGACAGCCTCATGGTAACAGGTATGGTTCCCTCCACCCCTGACTTATGTTTTTGGAGGGGGGTTATGCAGTGGCAATTAAGAAAAGCACCTTCTCCTATGCCATGTATTCTGGGTTCCAAGGGTCTGGAAAGCGGTTCCATAGCCAGTTACAGGGTTGCCAAATCTGGGTTGAGAAATACATGTAGATTTGAGGGGTAGAGCCTGGGGAGGGCAGGGTTTGGGGTGCGGAGGGACCTCAGCAGGGTATAATTCCATAGAGTCCATTGCCCAAAGCAGCCATTTCCAGGAGAACTGTTCTTGGAGATCTCCTTGGAGGCTGGCAATATTAAGGGGAAGGCCAGACCTGTAGATCTGAGGGGCAGAGCCTGGGGAGGGCAGGGTTTGGGGTGTGGAGGGACTTCAGCAGGGTATAATGCCATAGAGTCCACTGTCCAAAGCAGCCATTGTAATAGCTGGGAAATTTTCTGTTGGGGAAATGATGTGCTGTGGCTGAGGAACACAGTGATTTCTGGGAGATCGGCAACTCCAGTGACCATTTAAGAGAAGATTGGGATATGTATTTTGGCAACTCCAGTGACTGTTTAAGGGAAAATTGAGATATGTATTTTACCTCAGGACACATTCAATGACTCCCAACAGCAACTGCAAACTGTTTAGAATGTTAGAGGCAAAGGCCAATTCATGCCGCATATGCAAATGACCTCTGTGTTCTGACTGGCTATTGGGGGGAGAGGAACAGCAAACTGTTTAGAATATTGGAGGCGAGACTCAGGCAATGCAGCCAGTAGATAGGGACAGCTTCTGAGTGACAGATCATGGAGACAACTGATTTGGGAGCGTGTGGAATGTTCAGGAGAGTCCATGACCAAAACAGAATTATTATATAGAGAGATACTCAGATCCAAGATGCTATGCTAAGAGGCACACTAGTAGAAATGGAACTGATGCTGGTGGGTGGTACAGTCAGTCACCCAACTGGAAGGGGAAATTTCTCTCTTAGCTGGAATTCTTCTTTAAAGATAACACTTGAAGTGTTGAGGTATTCTGCTGGTTCCTAGATAGGTAGCAGCAGTGGTCAGGCTGCCTTTTTCAGCTTTGACTGATTCCTCAACTGCACCCTCTGTTGGATAATGTCACCACTGTCATCCATGCTTTGGCAACTTTTAAATGAGAGTACTCTAACGTGCTGTATGTGGAGCTGCCCCTAAACATTACTTGAGCACTGCAGCTACTGAGGAATGATGCATCTAGAATTCTGTGTGGTATGAGAAAGTATGAACATGTTATACCAATACTGAAGTCACTCCTTTTCACTTTGGTGGCAAGGTTTAAGGTGTTGGCATTGGACCTTGAAGCCTTAAATGGCCTGGCACCCAGTCTACATCAGAGTGTGTCTTCTTCCCTATAGAAGCCCCTTCACTCATAGAGATAATCTGGAGAGGACTTGCTGAAGGTTCTGTCTTGTGAATAAACCATGCTAGGCTCCATATGTCGCAGAGCTTTTTCCATAGTTGCCTTGGAACACTGAAATTCTTTGTCTCAGGAATTTGTCTGTCTCCATCACTACAGGCATTCTGCCAAGGTGATAAAATTGTTTTTGACTTTCATTGCTGCTATTGTTTTGTACTGTTTTTAACTGAACAGCAGAACTTAAAAAATATTTACTATTTAATTATTGTTATATTTTTGTTTAAATGGCTTTATTATTGTAAAGTTTAAAATTCTTGGAAAAATGGGTAACAAATCTGACAAATAAATTAATTGATGTAATTTTGACCTTTCTTGATTTTTTTTAAAATTCTCTCCAGTGGTCCTGAACAGCAGCCAAGAGTTTATGTTTAAGCAAATTATGGGGTTTATGCAGTTGTTTTAGAATGTTTCAGTATTCCTACAACAGCAGTCAAAAATCTAGCAACCCTATATGAAACCCATCCATCTACATTGTTCAGTAGCCTAGACGTCTCAGCAGCTGGAGAAGCAGAATCCTTACTAAGTAGGGGGGAAATCAGCTCCTGTCTAAGTTTTAAAAATTCAGGGCAGCTGAAAAGTTCATGGTCAGTGGATTCATTGTGATTAAGTTCTCAATTACATGTTCACTCTGACTATGAAACACCAGCATATCTACCTGTCAAGATTGCATATAGTAGAGCATTAAGCTGTGCCAACATAAAGGCACATCTATATTTAGGATACATTCACTCTCCCCATCAGTTCCTTTAAATCCCTAGGCACATTAGCTTACCATTCACCAATTATCCCAGTTGTTCTTATGATTGTCTAATTTAATAAGACTGAGCAAACGTAGCTCTGGATCTAATTGCAGGGTCTTTAACTTTAATTAAATGCCCTCCTCCATGCCCTAGTTTTGTAAGAGACTTCACCCACTTCAGCTCCCAGTATACTACGAAGGAAATTAATTAGCGGTCGATCAATACCTTCAGTAACAGCTTCTATCCATGCACCAGCTGCATATAACAAATGGCCAACTACCTTAGAGTTAAACACTCTGAGCACCAAAGGTACATACTTGGCCCCCTGAAGTATAAAATAATCTAGTGATTGCTTTCCCAGTTGTGTTCACAGTTCTTATTACCAACGTCACATGAGTTCTCCATGTAAGATCAGCAAAGAAGAAGAAGAGGAGGAGGAGGAGGAGGAGGAGGAGGAGGAGGAGTCTCAGAGGGGCTTACAAACTCCTTTCCCTTCCCCTCCCCACAGCAGACACCCCGTGAGGTAGGTGGGGCTGAGAGAGCTCTGACAGAAACTGCTCTTTTTCAAGAAAAGTTGTGCCAGAACTATGGCTTGCCCAAGGTCATCCAGCAGGTGCAAGTGGAGGAGTGGGGAATCAAACCCGATTCTCCCAGATAAGATAGAGCACTTAACCACTACACCAATACCCCAAGTATTTAAACTGTGACCTGTTGCATAGGCAGACCAGCCATGGTCCATTTATAATTCCTTACTTCCTGTTTTCTACTAAAAAAATAACAACCTTAGATATTAATTACCAAACCTTCCCTACAGCAGTAATTAGAAAATAGACAAGTTTATGCAGACCCACTATGAATCTAGACAGCAAGACAGTGTCACCTGCATAGAGGAGAACTGGCAATTTCACTGATGTGAGAAAACGCAAGTGGTAATCCTCTTGTAACGAAAAAGAATTAAGATCATTAATATATACATTAAATAACATTAAATAACAGAGGGGCCAAAATGCATCCTTGCTAAACGCCTTTATCTAGCGAAACAGCATATGTCAGTACTCCTGAAGGGCCATACCTAACTTGGGCTGTTGGACAGTCATAACACTGACAAGAAATAAAAGATTTTTTTCATAGATAGTTTTCCCAATCTTGCCCATATATTTTTAAAAAACCTAAGTGGGATATCTAGAACTAATGTACATTTATGCAGTAATTCTGCACACAGTTATACATATGTTATAGTTCACATCTTATTGCACAACTATTGTAGCACCATTGTGTACGTTAGAAGCACAAAGAATCTGGAAAAATAATTTTAAAACACTTTGACTCTTTACTTACCTTCAAGAAAAGTTTGGGTCTGCATCTGTAGCCGTATCTTTACTAGATCAACTGGACCACCAATTCCTACTGACACAGCCCCTGCTGCCATGCTTGCTAGTGCTAAGTCCATAAGAGCTGGAGGACTGTTAGAATTCCCATAGCGATGTTGGCTAATGAACCTCTGGGTATTGCTGAAGACACCAAATACCACTGAGTTGTAGACAGCAATGCTAACCAATGGGAATGACATTCCCTTGAAGAATCCAGCAGCCTACAAATAAAATTAAACAGAGGTAAATTAGAATAGACTCGATTGCTCTGGAGAAATAATTGAAACCTAGAGTAGAACACTGGCATACATTCAGACAGACAGCTTTACATTTCCCTTTTAAATAAACTCTTGCCCAATACAGGCCGTATCAGATGTCCCGTCGAGGTCCCGTCAAGGTTCCGTGTTTAGGGGGGAGGTGCCGATCACACGACCACCCTGCAGCGCGGCAAAGAAGCGGTGCGATCACACCAGCAATCGCTAGGCGCTGCTTCCGTGGCAAACGGGATGGATTAATTTTTTAAACTGAAGTTTGTGCATACGCATGACTGAGCAATCGTATCTGCACATCCGAAGGCGGGTGGTGGGCTTACCGGAGAGGGCGACAGACGTTTCCGGACCCCAACAGAGCTTCGAGGCATACCCAATGGAGGGGGAGGTGGGCCCCCTCATCACAGCTGCTCTAACCGCTTGCGCAACAGTGGCCATAGCGACCCTCCAGAGGCGGCAAGCCTGGCTGCAGTGGGAGGGGGCCTCTTTGTGCGCATGCACTGTTGGGCGCTTGTGCGCATCCTGTGGAGACTTGAAACACCCCCTGTTTGCGACGGGACATGGGCGGGCACCGGATGCCACGGGATTCCACCGGAAATGCGATCAGGCACCCGCCCTTGCCCCGCGGTTTCCAGAAACTAGTACCTCCGATGTACTAGTTTTTTACCCCGCATCTTCGGCGGGAAGCCTCGGGTTCAGCACGGGAGCTCTACGCTTCCCAGATGTGGTGGTGTGATCGTGTCCGGAAAATCCGCCTATCTTCCATCTTTGTAGCGTGGCTAATGTTCCATGTGACCGCAGCCATAATACATTAACTGATTCTTTAGCAAACTGGTTTTTCAGTCGTTTGTTAATAGAATGGGTAAATGTATAGCTCAATTAAATTGCCATTTTCCCTAAATCTTTGATTATCAGACGTTTTCCCAGATATATATGCTATATATAGAAGTTACTATTCCCTATAGATAAATTCACCCTGATATTCTAATCCCTTTCTATTGAGGAGCATGATGCTGACTATCCCATAAGGATGCTTCTGTGCTTTTCCTATTTTCCTTTTTCCTGTTTGGTTACTGGTTTCTTCTGATGTGCTACACAAGTAAGGATATCAGGCACAAGGATACCTATAACTTATATTTTGCATTTTACATGCTATGTATCTGTATTGCTCTATAAGTAATGTAAAATGAAAATCTGTCAGAACCTGGCCATGTAGGGTTGCCAGATCCAGGTTGGGAAACTCCTGAAGATTTGGGGGTGGAGCCTGAGGAAGACAAGGACTTCAGTGGGGTACAGTGCCATAGAGTCCACCCTCCAAAGCATCCATTTTCTCCAGGAGAACTGATCTCTGCAGTCTTTGGAGATGAGCTGTAATTCCATTGGATCCCCAGGTCTCACCTTGTCAGGACCCACAGCTAAGCAATGAAGTACATGCTTCCAAGAAGGTTTTACTTTTATTGAAAAGCCATAGATGCGATAACATGAACACTGTTAGGAATGGTGGGTTACCTGTGCGCATAATAGGATATAGGGCATTCGTATGCACACCCCCCATAGCCATAACCAATTAGGAGGCCTCCTGCACACGGGATACTGTTGGACTCCCTAACGGTCGCGAAGATGGGAACGGAGAAGCTCCCACGGACGACAGACACCACATTCTCCACCAGTACAACATCAAAGATAAGCGTTACAGCTCTGAAGCAATTAAGCGCATGGGAAGGAATGCAAAGCAATTAGAAAACATCTGCACTCTCATGGCAGCGTAGCTGACACACCTAGAGGCTGGCACCCCTAGTCAGAACCAATTTCTCATACAGATTAGCTAATTTCTCTGTTTTTAATCATTATGATTCCCCTTTAATAATTTTAATTTCTGAGTTTTATTCTGTTTGCACTCTCTGTATAATGCATTGCACTAGGGTTGCCAGCCTCCAGGTGGGACCTGGAGATCTCCGTCTTTTACAACTGATCTCCAGCTGAGAGAGATCAGCTCCCCTGGAGAAAAAGGCTGCTTTGAAGGGTGGACTCTATGGCATTGTAACCATGATGAGGTCCCTCCCCTCCCCAAACCTCACCCTCTCCTGGATCCACCCCCAAAGTCTCCAGGTATTTTCCAACCCAGACCTGGCAACCCTACATTGCACCAAATTTAAAAGATCTTCACGGCTGGCATGAGGATCATTGTTCTAAGTAGCATTTTAAGATTATTGGATATGGATTGGATAGCTGCATTATCCTGAGTCAGACAGACCATGGTTCTGTTGTCTACTGTGACTGGCAGAAACCCTCTGAAGTCTCAGGTCTTTCACAACACTTACTACCTGAGTTTTTAACTGGAGATGTTGGAGAAGAAACCTGAGCTCCTCTGCATGCCAAGTGGATGTCTTCCGCTGAGGCCTCTGTATGGAAGCACGTAAGAGTACTGTTTCCCAAAACAGTTTGCTTTAGCCATTGTTCAACTCCAAGTTAGCTGCTCAAAGAATGAGAAGCTGAAGAGCAGTCTTTCTACACTAGGACCTTTCTACACAGGTTATTTGCCCTAGATTCTGATGCAGTAGGGAAGTAGAGTTTCCCTATAGCATTGTGATGGATTTGTGCACCTCATGTGGATTCCCCAGTTTTTCTCCTTATCCTTTCCAAACTTGCTTTGCTGTGAAGTTCTGGAAAAAAACAGCAGCACTGCCTGGGTAGCTGCCATGTTGGTAGGGTAGGATTGCCAGCCCCATACTGGAGGTGGGGGATCCTCCGCCCTGGGCCCTGCCCCACCACTGATCAGCTGGCCAGCAGGGAGTCTTACCAGGAGCAGAAGGGAGGCCCAGGTGACATTGCCAGCAATGTGGCAACATCACTTCCAGTGTGTACCAGAAGTGATGCCATCATGTCCGTGATGTCCTGGTGATTTGGGCAAAAACTATGGCAGAAGCAATTTTTACTCTAGAATTTTTGCCCCAAAGCCAGAGTTGTTTTGGGGACATCCCAGCATGATGATATCACTTCTGACACATGACAGAAGTGATGTCACCACATTGCCAACACTGTAGCCTGGGCCTCCATTTCACTTCTGATAACTGGCACCCCTATGGTAGGGAAGTTTGGATTTTCCTAGTCCTGCTAACATGGCAGCCATCATTTCCTCCTACTGCCACTGGGGTGGTGCTTTTTAACTGGCAATTGAATATGGTTATATTCAGGGCTCTTTTTGTAGAAAAAGCCCAGCAGGAACTCATTAGCATAATAGGCCACACCCAACAGCAGAAACTCATTAGCATATTAGACCACACCCTGACAGTACAGCTCATTAGCCTATTTCCCCAGAATATAGTATACAAAAGACAAGAAAGAAGTGTTATTAGGTATGCTGGGTGTACAAAAAAGGATAGTATCTATTATGAAGTCATTGATCACTGCAAAAACGTTTTGTGCCAAGTTCTGGAAAAAGAACATATTCCAAGTGGAAGGAATATATGTGAAAAATCATAAACATAAGGCTTACTTGAATAAGAAAAGCTCATACTCGTGGTCTTGTAGATTTAACATAATTTTCTAAAAATTGGGGTGAGGACAGTATGTTACCAGAATAAGTTTACTGATGTGTAATTACTAAACAGCAATTAATAATGGAAAGGGAGGAAAGAGGCATGCTGTGTTTCACCTGTTCCTAGTATTCAAAAGAAGTGGCATAGCAAGCCTTGGCACAGGTAAAACAAGAATTATAAACAGGGCTTTAGTAGAACCAACATGGCCACCCACCTGAATCAGGCTGTTAGCAATTACAGATTGTGGTCTATGTTGAATATCATTACGGTTTTACATTGCTTCCTGTTCTGTAAACTCAAAATACTCTTTATTTCTTGAAGGATGATGGTATTGTCAGTAAAAGAAATAGCCATTTCATTTGTTCAAACAGCAGACTTGGTAGAGGATTCAGATGGGGCCCACACTTTTATTTTTAACAAGGGTGTTTTTGGAAATAATAAATGTCCAGTGTATTCCTTTTTGAACTATGGTGCTGGAGAAGACTCTTGAGAGTCCCCTGGACTGCAAGAAGATCAAATCAGTCAATCCTAAAAGAAATCAACCCTGACTGTTCCCTGGAAGGCCAGATACTGAAGCTGAAGCTCAAATACTTTGGCCACCAAATGAGAAGGGAGCACTCACTGGAGAAGACCCTGATGCTGGGAAAGATTGAAGGTCAAAGAAGACGGGGACGGCAAAGGATGAGATGGTTAGACAGTGTCATAGATGCAACGAACATGAAATCGAGCCAACTTCAGAGGACGGCGGAAGACAGGAAGGCCTGGCGTGATCTGGTCCATGGGGTCGCGAAGAGTCAGACTCGACTGTGCGACTGAACAACAA